CATTTCCCTACCAGCTTAATATCATCAGCTCATTAATGCAAGTTATGGGTCTCAAGGAGGAAACTCAAAAGGAACACAAACAGCATTCTGTGAACGCTGCTTGTGGTACCACAGAAGGTGCTGCAAGAATTAAATGGAGAAAATACCTTTTTTTTTTGCACAGATTCCTTCCTGTACAACTGAAGAAGCTGTCTAGCAATTTAGTTTAAAAAAAAAAAAAACAAACAAACCAATAAAACCAAGGAGGCTCAAAAAGTAGTTGTGCTTGTTTCCGCAGGCGCAATCACAAGATCTAACACAAATACTATGTCTCCCTCGGAAATTTGTCCTTTAAAACCTGAGACTATGAGAGCTGCTTACACCAACATTATTCTAAAACAAAGTACAGCAGAGGCAGAGTTTGAGAACTGTGGAAGCCACAAATCAGGTGAAAAGGCACAGTCCAGGTAGCTGCTGGCTGGAAGGCAGTTTGTGACATGGATAGAAATGAGAGTGTTATCTTATAAAAGCAGATTTTGATACTGAAGTTCTCACTATGATAATTGATATTTGAGATATATATATATCACTATATATTAATATGCAAACACTAGTTGATATAAACTAGAACTGTCAGTAAAACTTCAAATTTCTATTACAAGTTTTTTCTTACAGTTATCATTTTATAGCAATTATTGCAGCCTTTGTGATGAAAAAGGCCTTGCATTTTATGAAATACTTAATACAATTCTGATGTTAGTTAACTGAATCAGGTGAATTTTGCCGAGTGTCCAAATAGTAAATTCTGATCATACAAACATTGACTTATGTCCACAACCTTAAGTGCCTGTAGTCTGTTTACACTGGGGTAAAGTCAACCAAAGCTTTTTCCAGCAGCAAACAGCAACTTAGACACGGAACTGGTTTATGCCCTTCCATTTTGACCAGCCTGAGATTCTACATTTCTCCAATGTACCCCTCAGTTCCTAATTGCCCAGGCCAAACCAGTACTCGCTTCTCTAGAAGGAAAAGGGTGATTAACAAATTTGTTTAAATTTTGTTTCTAAAACCACTAGTAAAACCTAAACTTCAGCAGTTTTTAAGTAAACTATGTTCACCTTACAAACTTGGGACTCACAAATATATGCTTCACTGCTCCTACGAGCTTTTCACATGATTTTTATTTTTACTGAAAACAGCGATCAAATATTTGAGGCAAATCTTATAGGCTCAGATGTAACTTGATAATCTTCCTCATCCTTCTGTACACCAGTAAAACAAATTTCTGTATTGACCCATCAGCCTGAAAATAATGACATAATCTAAGATGGTGGAGTTGTTGTGCAAACTCTCCATACCCCAGATAGATGAAACTCTAGCCATAAGCTATGGAATAAAACCCAACAGACTTCGGCACTGTAATTGTCTTGATGTGAAAATGTAGGGTCTCAATGACTTCGAGACAATGGAGTTGGCAGAAGCCACCCAGTAACTCAGACCAAGTTAAGACTATTCCTTTTCATAGAATAAGAGGTTTTTGAATTATCTTTGGGTTTAATATTACCTATATTTAAAAAAAAAAAAAAATCCCTCACACAGCACATTTGATTTTTTCATCATAAAGAAAGATATGTTAGTTACAGTTGGGTCTTGCATGCTATTATGTGAAGCTAAATGTTGAAATTCCTCTTTACATGCCTCCCTGGCGCCTGAATCACTTCCAAATTTTTAGTTGATTAGAGCCCACTAAGTGTTCCTGCCAGCTTTACTGCATGTTCATCCCTCACACTCATTAGATTCAATGCAGTAGCAGAGATTTGTTTTCTACTTGATTTTGTTAAAGTGATGGCCTCCTCTGAAATTTTATCAGTTACAGTTTACTGTCTGTGAGAATGTCATTTTTATGGTCTTTAACTGGGCTCTGTTATATAAGCCAGTGTTGAGAGAGTTCTCTTTTCTAGTGACATGTTGAGAGTTGTGCAGCATAATAAATGAGATGCAGGATGATTCTAGTCTGTAATCCCTTCCCTTACATATGCCTTTTAGATGTCTAAATTCCAATTCTTAGCCTGTACACAGATTCACCTTTTTCTAGTAAGTTATTCAATAGAGCCACAGCCCTGATACCTATATCCCTGCCTTGTATTAAGGATGATAATCCACAAGAAATGTAACACCCACAGAACACTGCACTCCCTTATGGATGGATTGTAGCCACACACAGTTCATTATATCTGTAACTATTACAACTATATATATATGAAAGGTCTTTGCTTTTTTTTAGTAAGACTCCTTTAGGGGATCAAATACCCCTTCTGCAGGGCTTTGAAGTGGGTGAGGTGAGTGTTGGCCCATATCCTCCATGCCTGCTTCACTGTGCAGGTGCCACAGCCTGGATGAGGAACTAGGCTGCACCTTTCCTCCAAGGTCACTGAGGTTGCTGTTCTGGAGGGCACAGCCTTAGCAGATACCATCTGATTCATCCTAAACTGCTCCGCAGGGGCTTTGAGCATTAGCATCTTTTCCACACCCCTTGCAAAGTTTCTGTTGGCTTTACTAAGGGTGCATTTCCCACACTAGCCAGTATGTGCATGCTTATGGCATTCTGAATTGGAAGTGAGAGTTGGTCACTTGTTAAAGGAGAAAAGCTGACAATTAAACAACAGTGTTCCTATTCTAATAACCATTTTAATGCAGAAGGGAGAGCAGTTCAAAGAGATAACAAACATGCATATACAGCTAGCACCGTATCAGATAAATTCATGTGTTGCTTTTTAATAAGCAAATTTACCATAGAGTAACAGTCATGAAAAATGTAAATACAGTAAGAAAAATCGCAGAACCATAGACTGGTTTGGGTTGGAAATAGCCTTCAAGGTCATCTAGCTATAACCCCCTGCCACAGGCAAGGGCACCTTGCATTAGACCAGGTTGCTCAAAGCCCTTTCAACCTGGCCTCGAACACTTGAACACAAAGAAGAGGAAAGGGAGACAAAGCCAGAGTAAATGAAATAACATGTTTAGAGCTTACAGGAAAAACCAACAGCTAACATTCGCCAAGACAAAAAATCAAGCACATAAGATAAATTGATCTATAATAGCATACCCTTAATACTAAAGTACATGCTTAACTACACTTAGATACACTGGTAAATTGGCTGAAAATGTTTTGCATTTTATAGGCTTACACCTTTAATACAGAGTGATGAACACAAATAAATATACTCCTATTTCAGGGTCTTGTCAGCCTGAGTGGCAGTTATACCAGTGTTTTAATCTCCTGTTTCTCCCACAGCCTCTCCATGTCTATTGGCATCCAGGAGCATCAGCTCACTTCAACTTCTGGCTTGCAAAATCTCTACTTTTCATTCAAGCATCTCCGAGCACTCCCTTCTTAAACTAATGTGCAACAATAAACACTTCACCAATCTGAAACTGAGTCACCGTGTCTCTCAATGCCAAAACCAAATCATTGCCTGAACATATTGCTGCAAGCCTTGTTCTCTTCAACTTCCCCATCTCTGCACAGTTTATTATCCTTTCATTGTGTCATATATAAAATTAGAAGCTCTTTAAGGTATGGGTAATTTATTTCCTCCATTCCATAACGGGCCTAAAACAGTTCTGAGAAGTATAAAAAATTGAATTAACACAACAAATGCTATAAAGTAGTGAACAATATACAAACCTGGTAACTCTTTTCCTAATTCACTTCTGTGATAATCCTTTCCACTAAATCCCGTGAAGCTTTTAAAGTAAAAAAATCCCACTGTCTGTGTATAAATTAAAGTTTTTGAGTTTAGTTTGTTCATGTTATTGCTACCACCCCACGCTCCCCAGAGCTAGTTTCTTCCATTTGTTTGTCTTACACACATAGAAGATACTGCTTTATTTTTTATTATCAGGATAAGAAACTGTTGGTACTAAAATACGCTTAATATACGTGATTCCTACTTCAGCACTCCACCAAGCAGAACAGAGGTTCAATGATCATAGAATCACACACTTGTGAAGAATACACTATGCACACAAATCAAATAAATACCAACTTTCAGACCATTTTTTGAGCCTGAGTAAGATTTCAAATACTCCAGCCTTCCTTACCACTGCTTTAAAATTAATACATAAAGTCATAATAAATGAAAATGTAATTTATGGGAGCAACTTTAGAATGGAATAATTTAGCTAAAAATCAAGGCAACCACTTCATCCTGAAACATTCTGCTGTGTTAGGGACATATTTTCAAACTACATCACCCATAGTATATTAATTACTGTAATCTAGTTAAGAGTAGGAGTTACTGGAATGCTATTAGTACATCAAAGGTAACGCAATAAAGTCAGGTGAGCTGGGACTAATCAGCATAACTCACATTCTAGGATACCACAAGAACACATTTATTTTGAATACTTCGATATCTTCACACAGATTTTCTCATGCAACACTGTTTTTGCATCTGAGCCCAAACATTTCACACCAATCAGTTAAGGAATCTTTTCAGTTTCTGAAAGATTATTGTTTTGTTGAATTAATATTTCTTTTCGTTGCTGCAACTGGAATTTACCTACAGCCTATAAAAAAAAAGTCCTTAGGATGTGACCACATAGTTTCTGAATAAGGGAGTAGAAACCCCAGAAAATAATGGTTTATATTGGAAACACTGACTCAACCTTTAACTATAGAGGCGTGAACTGTTACCTCTGTAATTACCGGTCAACCTCAATCTTTCCTAATTAAAGTTTTCCTCTGGTGGCATGTACTTATGGCTAACCCTTACTGTTTATTCTACAATATATGATTACAATGAACCCAGTGTGAGTTAAATGATGTAGTTGTGTCTAGCTACATACAGCAAATTGACAGAACTTGGTAAATAATCAAACCAACCTCTCCCCAAAACCTATGATGCATAGCAGCTTCATACTTCCTCATTGCCAACACCACAGCATAACATAAGAATGCACTGAACATTCATCAAAGTATGAATTCATCAAAGTAACAAAGGAAAACTGTAGCTTACCTGAACAAAGGTCTCCTGTATTCCAGGCCAATTCCAAAATACTTTTCTTTCTCCTACAAGAAATTTCAGAATTATATGTCAAAATCAGTTAAAAAGATAGTATAAACAAAAATATATATATTTCCCATTTAATGATGAAATTCTTTACTTCTGAGAATTGTTTAAATAAAATTCCTCAAATTAACATTGCAATAAAGCCTGATATTTTCAGGTAGTTAGAAGTAGCAACATCTATTACGATTACTTCTAAATTTCCATCATTAATTACTGGTTCTTTTTTTCAGTTATTTATAACTATGCCAAATATCTATCACCTTGGCTGAAATTTCCCTGCCTCAGGATGAACTTTTCAACTAGACTGGTTCAGTTATTTCTGAGAACAAAGGCTTACACAGTGTAATTTGCCCTTGGATGTGCACATGCAGGAAGAGACAATCATTACTTGTATGATAACATACAATTTACCATTAAGGATCCTTGACTCATTCAGGGTATAAGGCTAGCCAGTATTTCTTGGGTGAGAAGCTATTTCTTTCTATCCTCTTTCTTATCCAGGACATCTCCAGACATTATTTACTGAACACTGGAACTGGAAGAGAATATTTGAATCTAACAGAACTCCTCTTAGAAATTTTATACAGTGCCTTGTTGTAACAGCTGAGTACTTTTCCAGCATTAATCTTCTGAACTTCTGCAGTGAAAGAGAGCACTATTACTCTCATTTTACACATGCACAAAGATTGAGATATACATGTATATAATCCAGTAATTGTATTCCCAAATGAAGATGTCTGCAGTACACTGCTTCAAAGCAATATATACTACTGCATGTTTGGAATTCAGCTCCCACTGGCTTTTCTTGCTGCTTGCTTTTCATTACCATTTGCGTCCACTTATCTTGCTGGCACTTGGATGCAGAATAAAATACATGCAGAAGCCACATTTGTAATGCATAAGTGAAAATTAGGACAAACCAGCTAACTCTCTGAACCCAGACTTACATCATGAAGCTCATGGAATAACTTTCTACAGAACAATTACCACCATGAAATACATGCAAGGTATGTATATTTCCATTGCATTGGAGCTATGAATATAAGTATCGGTCATAGAAATGCTCATTACACAAAAATGTGTTCACTGTTGTATCTTTAGGTAAAGGTTTATTGATTCCGGTTTAAGGAAGTTTTACTGCCCATCCAGCTGCTTAACAAGGTCAGCAATTATTTTAACTGCTATGATCAGGGTGCATCAAGCACAACATAACTAGCTGGTTGAGGGCCCACTCTACACTGCACTGGTGCAACCCCACCTCAACCATGTTCAGCTTTGGGCACCTCAGTATAAGAAAGATATCGAACTATTAGAGCAGGTCCACAGGAGGGTGGCCAAGATGGTGAAGGGTCTCAAGGGCAAGAAGCAGGTGAGTTAACTGGGTTTGTTCAGTTTAGAGAAGGCTGAGGGGTAACTCTGATGGAGTCTATAACTTGCTCATGGGGGTTGCAGAGAGGGAGGTGTATGGTCTCTGTCTAGTGACCAGGGACGGGACATGAGCAAATGGAATGAAGCTGCATCAAGAGAAGTTCTAACTGGACATTAGGAAAAGGTTTTTCACCGAGAGGGTGGTTGGTCCCTGGAATGGGCTCCCCAGAGAAGGGTAATGGAACCAAGACTATCAGAGTTCAAGAAGCCCTTAGTCATATTGGTTTAGTTTTAGGTAGTCCTGTGAGGAGCAGGGAATTGGAGTTGATGATCCTTACAAGTTCCTTTCAACTTGAGATATTTGATGTTTCATAGACAAAATTCTACATAGGGAGAGGAAGTGGCACAATTTGCACATTTTATGTTCTTTTTTTTTCTTGCAGTGTGGCATAGAATACTTTGTATTGCTTTGCTTGAGGGAATGACACAGATCTCATATCAATTACTCACCCATCTTCCTCTCTCCCCTCAGGAAGAAGAATATTATTTACTGAACATTCACATGTAAAATTGCATGTCACTAGAAAACCAGAGATCATGCCTAATAGAAAACTGAAAGGCAAGCTGCTGAGAGAAATTCTTTCTAAGAGGAGAGGAAAACTGTTGGCAGTTTGCTTTGAGGGGTTAAAATGAGGTAATACACTTTTAAAACTGATATATCTAAGCTTTGTTGCAACAAGTTACTTGAGCCTCAAGATGGGACTAGGGGAAAAAATGAACAAAGCCAGACAGAGCATAAGTGTGAAAACTGAATCTTTAATTTTGTTAAACTTCCCCCTCTGAGAGTTTATACTGCTTTTCTGCCTGATAAAATATACCATGCTCTGTATTGGAGTGGAACAATACTGTCACCTGGTGGTTAAATTTACTAGTAGTATTCAATCAAATTCAGGCAGAAAAATACCTCTGTTAAGCACTTTGCAGAATCTATGATCCAAACAGCTGAACAAGTTGTTGAGATTCATGAAAAAATTTAACACCACTGTGATTAATTCTAGTGACAGGCACTAGTGTCACGACAGTGGGTCAGGAAACCAGTAACTAAATACTTTGTTACAGAAAGAGCAAGAAGTTGGTCCTACATGGCAGATTCAGTCTGCTTCCTCAGACTTCTACCAACTCTCAAAGACACATTCACATGTTGCAGAGAGGTAGCCTTGAGCTCTTTGAGGCAATGTTTTACCATTTTAGTGCTGTCCTGCTGTCCCGTAACACAGCTTCAGAACAGACTAGGAGCTTGTTACAATTAATCTTGGATCTGCAGCCAGAAAAGAACTTACGTATTTAGAGTGAATCCAATGAACTGTGCAGAAACGCCTACAGGTTAGCCATAAACTGTAGCCAAGAGGAATTTTAAGTTATATGTTACTCATTCATGTATGTTCTCACAACACGTGCAATTGACTGACAACAAGTTCTCTTAATGGAAATATGTCCTCTGCAGGCTGTGATTTTTTTCCCAAGTTCAAGGCCAACCAAATAGCTTTATTCTATTAGAGCTCCTCAGAGCATCACAACACAGGTGGTAAAGCTTTTATTAATGAAAAATAAAAACCAAACCCAACGGTCATTTCCTACATCCCCATCACTTTGATTCCTTTTCCTTACCACCTATGGGACTACAATGTGGGTTCTGCCTCTGGCTCCCCATTTGTCCCTCTGTTCTTTTTGTGCCTTGTTTTCTCTTTGATCTTAGCCATGCAGGAGAAGAGAAAACAGCAGAAAAGAACATTCAGCATCTCAGCAGCTTTCAGACACTGAAATGAGACAAGGTTTGGAGACACAAGGGTCAGGAAGCAACATGGATGCTTTTTTAGAACAGAAGTTTAAACACCATTTTGAAGGTAGACTATGAAAAGTACTTACACCACTTGTAAAAACAGACAAGCAAAAAACAGATCAAGGAAATACCTTTTAAAGAACAGTGTGAAAGTTAAAGTAAGCATAAGGCCTGTTTTACTTTATTTGGTTGTTCAGCTACCCTAACAGGGAATACTCTCAGCTTAGAGGGATTTGCCTGTGGAACAGAACAAGAGACCACAAAAGAAAATCCCTCTACTTGTTTTGGCTTAGCTGAAGTCAGGACTTCGAGATCCACAACCCAGAACAGATCATTGAGCTCTCTTCTTCCTATTGTGTGGAAGCATCAGGGCTTCATCTAGTGTTCACAAAGAAAATTACAGTTAAGAAGAATAAAACCTAAGCCAAACCATGATATATAGCAATATTAGCCCAGACAATTTCCTTCAAACTGTTATCAGGAACAATGTTCCATATTTTGTGTGAAGTTCAGAATGGCGGTTACATACATGATTCACAGTAATATCCATCCTCCAAAATATACTAACAGTGCCTTAGTCTACAGATTATACTCATCTGGTCCGAACTGTCCTAAGTGTTGTTAAAGTTTCCTTGATTTTTTTATTATTTTAAATTCAGTGTTTATAATGTATAAGACTATTAAAAACCTTAGGGCAGTTTCATTTGGTTATAATTCTCTAGTTCAACACAGCTATGGCTACCAATTCAAGTGACTTGTCACTTGGCCAATGATCTCCAGATAAATTATATCCCCTACATAAAGACAAGCAGAAAAATTGTGTGTAGTCTGATTGTTTCAAAAGAGCTGAGACAGTTTAAGAATAGGGTCCTAATCTGTTCCTGATTATTATAAAAACATCAAACTCAAGGTCAATGAAGAAACCAAGGAGAACTTTATGAATGGGGTTATGCTACTCCTAACAAACCTAAAAAAATTTATTCAGTGCTATTTAGAAGGGCAAAATCTAAACTGTGGCAAAGAAACTTGTTTAGGAATGGCTAACAATGTACAGCAAACAGTGTAAGATTCTTGTATCTTCCTACAAGATGCTGATTGTAGAAAGCTCTGAAGATGCATAGGTGGCTAAACTCGCATTGATGTCATGATATGGATCAGATGCCTCAATGTCTAAAATGAGTACAGATTGAAAGTGTGAAGCCATGTTTAAGGATAGGGATGTTAAAGGAATTACATTTTCAACATGCTCTATCCTATTAGTACTCAGAATATTTTGATTTTCTACCCTTGTTTTACTACCAGCGATTTTTTCTTCAGAATTTGTCAGACAAACCTTAAAACCTTAAAAACATTAGCAGTTCAACTTAGTAATCAGAATTTGTTTCAACCCACTGTCTACAAACCTACAGCAAAGCAATATAAAAATAAACTCTTGGATGACGTAGAATTAACAGATTTTTTCCTCTCTTGCCACATGCTCCCTACCATATGCCAAACAAGGTGCAATGGCACTGAAAAAATAACAAATGTGAAAGATTCTGGGACTCAATAAAGAACTTTTAGTTTTCATGGAAATTTTGGCCTGCGTCGCCTGTTATTTGAAACAGGACATTCATCTTTGGTCATACTTCTACAACATTCTGTGCATGTCATAATAGCAGTTGGATATCTCTGTCATCTAGATAGGTATTTCAAATAGAACTACATACTACTTTTTTCTAAGGTCAATAGGATATTTCTGATATAAATATTTATTTGCTCTGATAATTCCATTGATACAAAAAGTACAGC